GCGGCATGTGGGATCTTCCCAGACCGGGGCACGAACCCGTGTCCCCTGCATCGGCAGGCGGACTCTCAACCACTGCGCCACCAGGGAAGCCCCCTCAGATATTTTATTAAGTGCTTGGGAAAATAAAGTGAGGGCAAACCTATATAGACATGCATCTCTTGATGGAAATTTGCACTGTGAAATAACCATGCTCATAAAATGTGCACTACATGGAAATATATAAATACCCACATGAAGCTAAACAAATACACGTACAGTCCTACTAGAAAATAGAACATTACCGATATCTTTGTATTGTGAATTGTGACCCTGGATAGGAGTTAACTGTCCCAGAATTTGGTTTTAATCATGTCCTTCCTGTTTTTTGTATTTCAGTACAAATACAACTCTAAGTAATGTACTGTTTAGTTTTATGTAATATCATATCAGTAACATCACACCATATGTATTCTTCTGTGACTTGCTTTTTATTTGGGGGATTTATCCGTTTTAACTTACAGATCCATTTTTTATGTTTCACTGTGTGTCGTATTCTGTTTTAATATGCCAGCATTTATCCATTCACCTCTTTGTGAATGTCTGGGTTCTTCCTGTTCTTTTCTTACTATGACTACGGCTGCAAATGGAAATGTCTACCTCCCGACATGAATATTCAAGAAGCTCTATGGGACAGATACAAACGATTTAAACTATGTAGTTTGTATATAGGTCTGTGTATGCTTATCTACACCAAAGTCTTCTGCATGCTCGACTTTCCTCCGTGACACAAATTTGTTTCCCGCGTGGCCACACTACTTGTCACCGGCGTGGCGTGGGATGGGCTCAACACTTGGTGCCATTGGGCTTTTGCACTTTCGCTAACCCTTTGTGATCTCTCCTCTCTTTGACCAGTAACCAGTGAGGTTACCGGTAACCACGTCTCTGGTCCTGTGTTAAGACCCTCAGCAGATGTGAGGACTTAGTGTATGTGGAATCTTGGAAAGGGAGCCACCACAGGTGGCTTTGCATTTACCTAAATAACTAGAAAAAGGATGGTACTAATTATTGAACTGTGGAACAAAAGCATGGAGACAGAGGAGCACAGAAATGAGATTTTTCAGAGACCAGCTGTCTTGAAGGCATGACAGTTTGACCTTGATGATCTGTGGCTTGAGTTTGGTGAGAGAGCTCCACACAAACCCTGGACATGTTTGCAAATTACTTGATTTAGATTTGGGAATCATGTTTGGTAATAAATAGTTTTTTAAAAATTAAACATGTATTTATTAAATTTTCTGTTAAGTGTTGAACATTTTTCTTTGCCCTAGGGCTACAGTGATCAAAATAGATTTTTTGAAATTTATTTTTTATTGAAGTATAGTTGATTTACAATGTTGTGTTAGTTTCAGGTGTACAGAAGAGTGAGTCAGTTTTATATATATATACATATATATATACACACACACACACATATATATACATATATATATACTGTTTCAGATTCTTTTCTCTGATAGGTTATTACAAAATATTGAGCAGAGTTCCCTGTGCTATACAGTAGGACCTAGTTGTTTATTTATTTTATATATAGAAGTGTGTATCTGTTAATCCCAAACTCCTAGTTTATCCCTCCCTCCCTTCCCCTTTGGTAACCATAAGTTTGTTTTCTGTCTGTGGGTCTATTTCTGTTTTGTATATAAATTCATTCGTATCATGTTTTCTCAGATTCCACATATAAGTGATAGATATTGTGTGATGTTTGTCTCTGACTGACTGACTTCACTTAGTTTGATGACCTCTAGTTGCATCCATGTTGCTGCAAATGGCATTATTTCATTCTTTTTGATGGCTGAGTAGTATTCCATGGTATATACATATGTACCACATCTTCTTTATCCATTCATCTGTCTGTCGACATTTAGGTTGCTTCCATGTCTTGGCTATCGTAAGTAGTATTGCTTCTATGAACATTTGATTTAGATTTGGAAATCAGGTTAGGTATCAGTTGAATTAGACACAGAAAGTCAAGCATTTAATGAGCTTTTAATACATGCCAGTCCCTGTGCTTGCTTTAGATGTACACACAATGAATAAGGAAAAAAGCACTGCTTTTAGGGACACTTGCATGAGAGTATAATCTTCAAGTGGGCAGGAATTCTGTCTCATCTCCCGCTATGTCCCAGTACCTTAGAATAGTGATCTTTATGAAATACTTATTGATCTATGACTAAGTGTTGGTGTTTTATTTCGGTGACCACTGTAGATTCTGTTGTCCACATCATTGCTCTAGAAAAAACATCCATGCTTTATTCCTGATCATATCTCTGGCCTACATCTCCATGGTGTATCTTTCTATCCAATCAATCCTTTTTTAATTGAAGTATAGTTGATTTACAATGTTAATTTCTTCTATGCAGCAAAGTGCTGTAGTTATACATACGTATACATTCTTTTTTATATTTTCCATTATGGTTTACCACAGAGTATTGAATATAGTTCCCTTGTTGTTTATCCATCCTATATATAATAGTTTGCATCTGCTAACCCCAAATTCTCTATCCATCCCTCTCCCAAACCCCTCCCCCTTGGCAACCACAAGTCTGTTCTCTATGTCTGTGAGTCTGTTTCTGTTTCATAAGTAAGTTCGTTTGTGTCATATTTAAATTCCACATGTAAGTGATATCATATGGTGTTTGTCTTTCTCTGTCTGACTTCACTTAGTATGACAGTCTGTCCATCCATGTTGCTGCAAGTGGCGTTATTTTGTTCTTTTCTATGGCTGAGTAATACTCCATTGTATACATGTACCACATCTTCTTTATTCATTCCTCTGTTGATGGACATTTAGGTTGTTTCCATGTCTTGGCTATTGTGAATAGTGCTGCTGTGAACATAGGGACGCATCTATCTTTTTGAATTATAATTTTGTCCAGATATATGCCCAGTCTGTCCAGTGTCTTGACTGGACCACATATAAGCCGTTAACTCTTTTTCCTGGGTTTAGTCTGGGTTCTGGCTCTAGTTGCAAACTCCAGTTCCTACGACTGTGGCCCTGTTGTTTTCCTGAGCCATTAAACTTCAGTGTGAGAACAGAAATGGTGACGGAGGTGATGGAGTTGATGCTTTGAAGCCCCCACTGGGCATACAGCAACCTTGAAGATAGTACATATGGCATCTTCACTCTGTAATTATTTACATCTAAACTTCTTGGTTCAAAAGGGTGGATTTTGATGGGATCTGGTTTTTAGAACTGAAAGGAAGTATAGGGATAGATGTGCAGAGAGCTAGATTTGACAAAAGACACAGGAGATTGTGACTGTGCCCATCTGGGAGATAAAATCAAAGCCAGCATATTAAAAAATACACAAAAATGTAATAACTGGCTGATTGCCAGCATCAAGGAATCTTGAATAGGGATTGTGTGTGTGTGTGTGTGCACGCGTGTGTGTTGTCAGCCCATGTGCAGAATGTCGAGGTTGTTCACGTAGATAACAGGTGCCCTGGGCCACCTCACGGTAGACATCTGTGTTGTAGGATAAAAGATGAACCATACCCCACTTGGGTACCATGAAACGTTAGTGTCCTCACCAAAAACAAAAGAAAAAATAAAACCGGGGAGGTCTACAGGTTGTAGTTTGGGGAATGGCTATTGCAGACTTTCTAGGAAACAGTGTGGCAGGATTATTGTACAAGCTCATTAATTTTACCAGCATCTATGGTTCTTGGTTTCCTGATGCTTTGGGATGTGAGATGAAAGTGAATCTTCCAAGTGCCTCTTGGTGTCAGCAGACTATTGGTAGCAGATCGCGCGTCCCAGACCTTCGATGGAGCTGAGAGTCACATCAGGGGAGGGCTGTGCCACCTCATTAATCCTCTCATGTTTTTTTCCTTTCTTTTCTTTTCTTTTCTTTTTTTTTCCTTGGAAGATGCATCCACAGAGTTCTGTCTTATAATCTATTGCGCAGCCACAGAAAGGTGAGGCCGTGAACACCCAGGAGACATGATTTTATTCCTTGGAAGGCCAAAACACCAAGATAAATTTGATCAGGGCTCACCTAAATTAAATATATATTGTAAAACTAAACCAATCTCAATTTGAGCGATCTGCACTTTGGAAAGAAATTTATTGCCATTTTTATTTTGACTCATTTATAGTTTAGCTTGCCTGAGTAGTTGGAGCCAAGTCTTAATTACAGCCTCATACAGAATGACTGTCCTGTAGAGATCATTCTAAACTACCTAATCAAGTTATAAATCAAGTCGAAATGCCACTCTGAGAAATTAGTCTGTGTGCAACTTTTGCAGGGAGAACATGCTATCAATGCCTTCCTAACTCCCCAGTTGTATGTATGCAGTGAAGTTACCGTTTTTGTTCTCATTTTTTTCATTAAAATTTTTTCTTCAAGAATTTCCTTTGTAATATCTTGGGTTTTTTTTTTGTTTTTTTGTTTTTTTTTTGTGGCATGTGGGCCTCTCACTGCTGTGGCCTCTCCCGTTGCAGAGCACAGGCTCAGCGGCCACGGCTCACGGGCCCAACCGCTCCGCGGCATGTGGGATCTTCCCGGACCGGGGCACGAACCCGCGTCCCCTGCACCAGCAGGCGGACTGTCAACCACTGTGCCACCAGGGAAGCCCTGTAGTATCTTGTTTTTATTTTGGAAAAATTTGAAAATATATAAATACATATTATAGAGAAAATAGATAACTTATTATACAGAAAATAGATAACTATAAAAATAGATTTAAATATTTATAAATATGTGTATTATACGTATCCTAACTGTACACATATATTATGTGTAGCTATAACAGCATTTCACTCCTTGTAAAATTATTTTCAGTGTGACGTTTACCTGAGAAGTCTTTTTTTGGTCCTCCCCAAAATAAATTTATAATGATTTTTAAATGAGGATGCATATTTAAAATAGGTTTATTTTTTAAACCTTCATTGCTAACACTTTTACAGTTGCCAGATATTTGAATGTGACACACACACACACACACACACATACATATATACACACACACACATACATATATATACACACACAAACATAAATCTAGTGCCACTGATGATAATTTTCAAATGTACCCACAGGTGCTTAGTCATTTACGTGGCCACCATGATCCCATATTTGATGATTTACAAATCATTTACAAATGGAGACATTTTTGATTGTGAAAAATGAGAGGCGGGTGCTACCAGCCTCAGGTGGGTAGAGACCAGCGGTGCTACTACGCACCCTAGAGGGCTCAGGATGGCCCTCACCACAAAGAGCAGTGTGGTCCCAGATGTCAGCAGTGCAGAGTCTGAGAAACAGTGCTCGGCATTGGTGGTATTCCATTTGTGCAAACTGCTAAATTCCAGAGCATCGGGAAATAAGATGGCTCGGAACGTATGATTGTTTTGAATGCCTAGCCTGGGCTTCATGAGTGTCCAGATACCCGCCCCCCCATTCCCCTCCTCTTAGGTCCGGCTGGTTCATGGTCTCTCTCTGGCCCTTAGAACCTTGTGGGGAGGTAGGCTTGATCACACAGGTGAAGCAGGAAGTGTACGTGTGCCCTCACTTGCTCAGTCTTAACAAATATGTGACATAGAGGTGCTGTCTTCCACATGGAGCTGGAGAAATGATGGAGTGGACCAGACTTCCTCAAGGCATTCACGTTGTAAGTCCTGGGACAAATCCGCCAACTGAATTCTACCTTTATGGAATTCTGTGGTCCCGGGACTATGTGATGCCTCGCGTGGACCAGCTCAGTTAATTCCCAGAGAGTTAGAAACACATAAGTAAAGAGAGGCTCAAAGAATTTAAACTACTCGCTCTATACCTGCTTCATGCCAACCCTGGGCTGACTTCAGTGCATTTTGTCTCCATACCCGGGAGTGTTTTGAGCAGGTCTGTGTTCAAAATCCCAGCATTTCATGGGTGTTGAGGAGACCTTTTCTCTGCCCTGCCCCTTTGCTCCCTTGTGGCTCAGCCCAGCCCCACAAAGGAGGCATGACATGCCATCTACTTAAAGCTCAGAGAGGTTGACTCACTTCTCCAGCTCACAGAGAGGTAGCATTTGGGGACCCAGGTCTATCAGAATCAGAAATCACTGGCATCTCCTATGACCATGAGGAAGGCTTGAGAAGGAAGTACTGATGCTGGTTCTAAACCAGAAGGGCTTTCAGGAACACAAGATTTCAGACAAGTCAGCACCTCTTTCACGTTTTCTGTGTGTCTCTTAATTATTCAGCAATTGGATCATGCTGTGGCAGAAATCCAAATGTTGTCTCCAGTACAAAGATAAAAGCAAACACATAAATCAGCCATTGGGTGTGATGCGAATTTTCACTCTCAATGCTACCATCCCGTATTGTAGTGCATTTTCATCCAACTCTGATTAACTTGGCCCAGGATGTCATGGATGACAAAATTTCCCCCAGACGTATTCTAGCTCCGTGATAGGTCTGGCTCAGATATGTTTCATTAGAAAATAAATTATCTGTTTGACATATTCTACTCAACCATTCCCTGAAATGAAATGCATAATTATATTCCAGTCCAGAAAGACTCTGAATAACCCAGAATAATCTGTGTCCTTAGAAACACATCTGTCTGTTTTCAGCTGAAGAATGCTATATTTAAAGGTAGAGTCCTGTAGTGAACAGACTGGTGGTTGCCAAGGGGGAGGGGTTGGGGGAGGGATGGAGGGGGAGTTCGGGGTTAGCAGATGTGAGCTTTTATGTATAGGATGGATAAACACCAAGGTCCTACTGTGTATCACAGAGAGCTATATTCAGTATCCTATGATAAACCATCATGGAAAAGAATATATAAAAAAACTATGTGTATGTATAACTGAATCACTCTGCTGGACAGCAGAAATTAACACAACGTTGTACATCAACTATACTTGAATAAAAAAAATGTTGATTAAAAAAAAGGTAGAGTCCTTGCAACACCTCATGAAGTGTTTTCTGTCTCTAATGCATCATTTATAGTACTCACGTGCGACATTCTTGAATGTCCTACGCGCAGTGGTTTATCTGGGGAGAGTTGTCATGTGATCCCCGTAGGGACAAATTGAGGTGGTCCTTTTTTTAAATTTTATTTTGGTGGCGCCACGTGGCTTGCAGGTCTCAGTTCCCCGACCCGGGATTGAACCCGCGGCCCTGGCAGTGAGAGTGCCAGAGTCCTAACCACTGGACCACCAGGGAATTCCCATGGAGGTCACTCTTTAAAAGTTAACTCCTCCCAGACTCAGTAGGAAGGTGACTCAGTTGTACCAGAAGGTTCTTTAATAGGCTGCAGGGTTTACCCTTGAAGGCATGCAGTGCTTTACATGAAAATCGGGATCGCTGTATCAACACTCTTAATTGTGGATGGTGTCTTGATGTGACAAGCACTACGGCATGTACTTGAGATACAGCATCTTGCTCAATTTCTTACAAGGAAGCTGAGATTCAGGGCGATGATGTCTGGAGCCTACAGACACATGCCCCTGCGTAGCCCGAGGAGGATGAGTGTCCAGTGTCGATGCTCTTTCCACTGCATGTTGCTCCCTTTATGTTCGCTGGTAAATATCCACCTGGCGTGAAGCCAGTCTGGTCTGGATGCACACTTCCCTTTACCCGTCTTGGAAAACTTGTAGAGCTGCACTCATAATACCTTAGGAAAAAGTGACAGTTTTTTTTTTTTACATTTATTTATGTCTTTATTAGTGTATTTATGTATGTATGAATTTATTTAAAAATTTTATTGGGGTACAGTTGCTTCACAGTGTTGTATTACAGTTTCTACTGTACAGCAAAGTGAATCAGCTCTACGTATCCATATATCCCCTCTTTTTCGGATTTCCTTCCCGTGTAGGTCACCACAGAGCATTGAGTAGAGTTCCCTGTGCTATACAGTAAGTTCTCATTAGTTAGCTATTTTATACATAGTAGTGTATATATGTCAATCCCAATCTCCCAATTCATCCCACCGTCCTTCCCCCCTTGGGGAAGTTTGCTTGTTTGTTCTCTACATCTGTGTCTCTGTTTCTGCTTTGCAACACTCTTTGACATAAATCACAGTGATACCTTGTTTGACCCACCTCCTAGGGTAATGAAAATAAAAACAAAAATAAACAAATGGGACCTAATTAAACTTATAAGGATTTGCACAGCAAAGGAAACCATAAACAAGACGAAAAGACAACCCTCAGAATGGGAGAAAGTATATTTACTTTATATTGGAGTATAGTTGATTTACAATGTTGAGTTTCAGGTGTACAGCGCAGTGATTCAATTAAACATATACCTATAGCCATTCTTTTCCCATATAGGTTATTACAAAATACCGAGTATAGTTCCCTGTGCTATACAGTAGGTCCTTGTTTATTTTATATATAAAGTGACAGTTTTCTTAAACATCTGAGAAACAGTGTTTTGGGAGTGCCTATCCATTGCTGGGCTAATATTATCAATAACAGTGCAATTTGGAGACATCAGTACAGTTATCTGTGCAATGTGTGTAACTTTCGGCAGTGTGTTTGTTCATTCAACAAAGACTTGAATGTTTCCGGAGTATTGGCATCGTTCTCGCTGATGGGACTCACTGTAGAAATTAAGACAAGTGATTGGCGAAATTCTACTGCCCGCAGATGCCGCTCTACAAATTCATCGGTGAATGAGAATTTCCTTGTGTGATGTTGAGGGTTGCATGGAAGACACAGCAAACGCCATTGGTGGCAGTGGTCTTGCCTTCCTTAGCCTTGTCTGCTTTTTTTCTCCCATTAGGCTGACCGCTCTGCCTTGGAGGTCTCCTAAGTGATCGCTGCTCCGGGGAGGTGTTGGATGGTCACCGCTTCCTTGGAGCCTCGCACGGGCTGGAATTCGGCACCAGGATTAAGAGAGGGCTGCTGTCCCGTAATGGGCTGCCGAGAAAACCGCCGGGTTTGTTGTTAACCTTGGGGTCTGTCTATGACCCATCGAAGAGGCTTCCTGGCAAGCCCTTCCCCTCTCCAGGGCCTTGGTCCCTGGAAAGCCGTCTCTCTCTGCAGGCTCCCTTCACGGCTTGCTTTGCTTGGAGTTGCATCGCACGGACGCCCGCGGATGTGGTGGTGAACCATGTCGAGACCCCAGGGACTGTTATGGCTTCCGCTGGTCTTCACCCCGGTCTGTGTCATGGTGAACTCCAACGTCCTGCTGTGGATCACCGCCCTGGCCATCAAGTTCACGCTCATCGACAGCCAGGCGCAGTATCCTGTGGTCAACACCAATTACGGCAAAATCCGGGGCTTGAGAACACCGCTGCCCAATGAGATTTTGGGTCCAGTGGAGCAATACTTGGGGGTCCCTTATGCCTCGCCTCCTACTGGGGAAAGGCGGTTTCAGCCCCCGGAACCCCCCTCCTCATGGACTGGGGTTCGGAACGCCACTCAGTTTGCTGCCGTGTGCCCCCAGCACCTGGATGAGCGGTCTCTCTTGCATGACATGCTGCCCATCTGGTTTACTGCCAATCTGGATACTCTGATGACCTACGTTCAAGATCAGAATGAAGACTGCCTTTATTTGAATATCTATGTGCCCACAGAGGACGGTAAGTACTTATTCTAAACAGAAAACACCTGCTCGCTCAGCCTCAGATTTGCCAAGAGGGTTGTATAATGTCCTGTGCGTGATATTTTCTATAACCATTTTTTTTCATATTCAGTTATCTCAGTAACGTACCACTTGTTCGACTTGAATTTACGCAGTGTCTAATCGATGGAGAGTATCATAATTAATGACTTAATTCTTTCCATATATTGCCTTTTTAGCATTGCTGTAGCCTTTATTTGCAGGTGATTACCAGTCTGAGCATATAGTGTTCTATGTTATACCTGAATCATCTGTAAAGGAATGGATCTAGAGAAACTAATAGAATTAAGAACATTCGCATGCTAAAGTGAGCACCTGGAAATTATACAAGGAATGGTTCCTTTGGCTCTAATGCCTTAAGATGTTAGCACTTTTTGAGTCTTAAAGGGAACCACTGATTGTTTTAAATACACAAGCAAGGGATATTTGATAAAACCATTGGACTTGATTGTTCAGAATCCATGTTGTTGATATAAATTTGGACTTTATTTCCTGCCAATATTCACTGCAATCAAATGGCAAATGTGTGTCGTCAGGTGATTCGAACTACGTTAGAAAAATGGTTTTCTTGCTTGAACAAAATGCCCCTTTTCTTTTGGATAACACAACAGTGAAAATCTGTGAAAACAATCATGTTCCATATATTAACTTAATCCAATACTAGTAAAACTTGGATATCTCCTTGTTCAAGTAGACCTTAAATTAAAATGTTTGCTAAAGACCAACCAGACTCAAGTTAGTCTACAATGAAAGTCCGTTTCTCATTTCTTGTTTGCATGTGCTCTTTTTTATACAAAGAGAAGGAAAAACAGAATGAAATCTTCCTGGAACTTAAAAAAAAGTAATTGAGAGGAATCATAGCCACCACTGTCTACTATAGAAACTGAAGTGTGTCCTTGTCCTTGGTAACTTTCATGCAGACATTTCTTTTCCTTTTTTTACCTTTAATCCTTGGGAGATGTTTGTCAGTGAGCTTTGGCTGAAAGTCTGCCATAAATGATGACATTATTCAGTGATACCTAAAGTTGGATCGCATCTGCCATATCGTTCTTTCTCCGTGCAGATGCAAAGAGGTGGCGTGGGTACCTTTCTCGAGAAACCGGGATGGGGGCAGTCTGTGAGGGAGATGACAAGGAATGCCCAGAGAAAGTGAAAGGGTTGAGCTTCCTTATGTTAGTAGCGTCTGGCATGTGGCTATTGTCACGATGGTGACAGATCTCACAATTACCTTGTAAAGTCTAGGTCTTGAATAGGGTTCAAGGGGTTAAACCGACACTGGACGCCTTACTTCCATGCCCTGTGCTGAGCTGCCGTAGTGCTCAGTAACTGCTTGGTGCATATGTAAGAGGATGGATAACCCCACCCAAACCAATTAGAGTTCTCAGTTCAAAGCCACCTGGGTCATGGTCTTTCTTATCATGAACTATTCAAAGAAAGGAATAAAAAGAAGCAAAGACAGGGTGGTGGAAACAAAACAGGGTAAAGGATTAAAATTGCTTTCATGGGACTTCCCTGGCGGGCCAGTGGTTAAGACTTTGCCTTCCAATGCAGGGGGTGCGGTTTGATCCCTGGTCGGGGAGCTATGATCCCACGTGCCTCATGGCCAAAAAAGAAAACCGCACGAACAAACATAAAACAGAAGCGATATTTTAACAAATTCAATAAAGATGTTAAAAAATGGTCCACATCAAACAAAAAACCTTTAAAAGAAAAATAAAATAAAATTGCTTTCATCATAAATTTGATATGCTGGTGTCTCTGAACCGGTGACTTTATAGCGTTCACCTTCCAAACAAGGACACTTCACATAGAATGCCTGCTTCTGAGAGGTCGGGGTACAGTTACAACGCCCAGGAAGACAAATCAGTAGCTTCCTTGATGACAGACCCATAGATGTGCAGTTGTGTGGATTGACCCCATAAACGATTCGGCCGTTTCTTTGTGGTTCAGGATTGAACAGGAATTTGGGACTAGAAACACACGAAAAAAGCTGCCTAATAGAGAAGCAATCTGAATTTAAGAATAAAGGCACTGCTACCTGTTGATTCCTCTGGGCTTTTTAGAGCACTCTGGCACACGATATCTCATAGCATCTTGGCGGGAGAATCAGAAATCTAATAGGGGCTGAATAGGTAAATTTGATCTCCCTACAATAGATACATAATGGAATTTTGCTGGTGAGGGAAGCTATATGCCTGTGTGTTTGCAGAAACAGAAAATCACAGCCTATTGGGTCAGGAGTTTTGAAGGTTTAAAAATAGATGATTTGCATCCATTTGTGAATCAACATGGAGGTTCAGATATTTAATTATTGGTTATTGCTAAATGAATAAACCCCACTTGTACAATAACACATGGAAATTACGGCGTCATGCTGATGTCTCCAAAGACCTTGCTTTAGGGCATATCTTAATTCATAACAGTGCATTTCATTAAATGTGTGCACAGCCGTATTGGCTATTTGGAATTCAATATTCCACTCTGGTACTCCATTATTTTTTTTAGATTTGTCGTGATGCATTCATCCAACGGTGTGGCCATCTGACTTCCCTACCAATGATAGTTCTGAGTTCCTATCCTGTGCTAGTCAAGCTTCACATGTTGGCATGGCAACAGAGACAAGCATGCTGAATTTCTAGAGACACACAGAGACTTGTTGTAGGCAGAACAATGCCTTCTCCAAAGAAGGGCACGTCCTAATCCCTGGAACCTTTGAATATGTTACCTTACAGGGCCAAGGGGATGAAGGTTGCTGATGGAACTGAAACCGCTAGGTGGCATTTTTGGGCGGGCTCTGAGGAGCTCCGGTTCTATATGTCTCAGTGTAGAAAGAATTCAGTGAGAGACGTCCCTGGTGGTCTAGTGGTTAAGAGTCCGTGCTCCCAATGCAGGGAGCCCGGGTTCAATCCCTGGTCAGGGAACTAGATCCTGCATTCTACAACTAAGACCCAGAACAGCCAAATAAATATTAAAAAGAAAGAAAAGGAATTCAGTGAGAGGCAAAGTGATAGATAAGAAGTGGTTTATTAGAATAGGACACTTGTGAGGCTTACAAGAAGGTAGGCGAGAGGGTGCCGTGAGCCACTGAGAACTTAGTGGGCTGCAGTTTTGTTTGTTTTTTTTTGGTGGTACGCGGGCCTCTCACTGTTGTGGCCTCTCTCGTTGCAGAGCACAGGCTCCGGATGCACAGGTTCAGCGGCCATGGCTTACGGGCCCAGCTGCTCCACGGTATGTGGGATCTTCCTGGATCGGGGCACGAACCCGTATCCCCTGCATTGGCAGGCGGATTCTCAACCACTGCGCCACCAGGGAATCCCTGGGCTGCAGTTTTATAATCAAAGGAAAAGTGGGGAAGGGGAGAAGACCACCCTCTTCCTCATTCTTGGGTAGACGTCAGGCTTCCGTCCTTAGCTTGTCCACCACATCAGGCAGGGGAGTTTTCTTGTCCCCCACATGGTCAAGCTGGGACTGTCATGGCACATGGAAGAATTATTTCAGGTCTCAGTACAGTGAGGGTCTTTCACTTTGAAATGTCACCGTTTCATAAAATATTGCTTTTTATGTGTGCAGAGAGCATGTCCTAGGGGTCATTAACTTACTGAGCTCACTGGGCAGGATGTGGGTCTCATGCTACCATTTTTTTTTTTATTGTTTTGGGGCATGTCTTGTACTTCTGTTGCATGGTTTTGTTGCTAATAAGGCTGCTTGGCTTTGTGGCTCAGCACGCCTGCTTTCTTGAGTGATCATTAACTTACAGGGTCTCCCATACTTTTTCCTTTATGTACAATCCCCTAGTGGGATTAACTATTTAATTACCTACTTTGTCCCTTTACTCTGTCCCTATTGTTATGGTATTTGCTTATCCATTGACTTTAAGATGGAGGGAATATATTCTGGTTTATCTGGGTGGGCCCATATTTAATAACAAAGACGCTTTGTTGTGAATAAGGAAGCAGAAAAGGTGATGAGGGCCAGAGGGAAGCAATGGAAAAAAGGCACAGTGGTCATTGCTGCCTTTGAGGACAAGGCGGAACCAAGAGTTGAGGAACCCTGAAGCCTGTCGAAGCTGGAAAAGGCAAGAGATGGGTTCTCTCCTTGAGCCTCAGAGAGAAGCACAGCCCTGCCCACCCCTGAGTTTTAGCCCAGTGGAACTCTGACCTTCAGAACTCTAAGATCCTGAACATCTGCCACTCGAAGCCGCAACATTGGTGGCAATTTGTCACAGTGGCAGTGGAAACTCATAGAGTTTTGCCAGCCTTTAATATAAATACCCTAATTGAAAGCAACATACACAGCACTGAAGAGTTGTTCTGAGCTTTCTGAGTTGCTCCCCATTCTGAGATGCTAATTTGTTTGTTACCCTTTCGACCTCCAGAATAACTGGTTAAAAAACAAACAACCCACACACTCATTTTAACAGTGGGTCGTTAACATGTGCTGCTTTCCCTTATACATATCAAGGAGACAAAGTTGGTTCCCGTTGGTGGGTGGATATTTTGCAGATCTGAGGTTTAACCTGTAGAAAGTAGACACCCAACTTTTGGTTCCTCGTTTTAGAACAGATTTATGGCAGCTCTTACTAAATGTCATATTCAAAAGATTCACTGATTTTACACAGGAACATAATGAAGGAGTATTTAAGATTTCCCAGGCATCTAAAACAGATGTCCAGAGTAGGTGTCAGTGAATGGCATAGAGCAAAACATCCAAATGGTCATCTTTTCTCATCTGTCTCTGCAAAATGTCCCTCACGTTGGCAGCTGTACCTCTAAATGTCTTCTTCTGTGTTAGCAAAATCTTTTGGGCTCCCCATTCCTTCCCTCTAGACCTCAAGATCTGATCTGTTATGGGGAAAGTGATTCTCTATCCTTTAAAAAAATAATTTATCGATGAATTTATTAGACAGAATGTCAGTTAATTCTTACCCGCCCCCCGGTTTAATTGAGATATAGTTGACAT